AATTTATATATATATATATAGGAATAATTAGTGATATACAGACGTACATTTTAAAGAAAAGAGTCATCGATTAAGAATACAGTAACTGGTATAAAACGTTATAACTAAATACCGCACGATGTGCTTCGCTGCCATAATCGCTTTCTTGCCACTGTCCCAAGATCCAGACAGACAGACTCTTATTGTGAAATCAAAGTCATTTTGTCGATGAAAATATCATAATGTCGTGCGAACTTAGAGAAGTCGTGGAGAATAATAGCGTCGGTTGAATTTTATGCGAGTCAGCAGGATTTGCATTTCTCCTTGGAAAACGAGATATTGTTAGGACACGCCATTTTTCTTGGGAAATTAATTAGGAAATTAATTAGGATACGCACATTTCACACATTCATACGCACACTTGTCGCCCCACATATGTAATGTAAATTATAAATTAAAAGAATTATTAATTATTAAGCTTCCACTTATTGAGATATACTATAAATACAAAAAAATCACAATGTAACAAAATTATAAACCAAAACAATTGCGACATTTTTAAATATTTTATTTACATTTAATATATTTAATACAATTTAAATTATTACTCTTCACCCAATAGCGTGTATTATTTAATTATGGATAAGGAATTATGTCAAATATCTTATATCCTTGTGTCTATTTCAGACACATCAGTCGACAAAAAAACGAAAAAAGAGGCTACACCAAGAAGCAAAAAGGACACAAGACTCAAAACATCTGCAGCGACATGTTCAGTTAAGGATGAAGTATTCGATACGAGTATCCCGGTGGTGAAGCTTCCAAAAAATATCTCCAAGACTTTTCCCAAAATGTCGCCTTCTAGGAAAATACAGAACATAAATCTCGTCTTCCCGCCGAACCCGAGAATTGAGTTTTCCAAGAATCTTGAGGACGACGAGTATAATAATGATGTCATGAATAAAACTTTCGTTGTACAGAATCAACCAATTGACGCAAATGTAACAACTGACAGTACTTCGAACGATTACAATATTACCATGGAAAGTACGCAAAATGAGAAGGATATGCTAGAGTCAGAAATCTGGCCAATTTTTCCAAGAACTCCACTCGTGGAAACAAGTTTTCAAATTCGTACTACGTCTACCCCGAAGTTCTCTCCCGCTAATTTCTTCTCATCTTCCATCTTAGAGGAGAGTCCAATAATGAAAAACATCCCTTCCAAAAACATCCTGGAGAAATCGTCCTTCTTCGAAAACATTTCCAGATCGACAAATCTGTCGGATAACACCGCAAGCGAATTTGAAAGCACTTCAAGGTCTAGAAGAAGGTTGTCTCAGAATGTTTTGGAAAAAGCATTCATATTCGAAGCAAGTTCAAAAGTGGAAAATAATTCTCTTGCTTGTAAGAAAACTCCACTGGAAGCCAAGAAGAAAAATATACGATCGATTGATCCAATTATGTTCGAAAAGACTGATGTAAATTTATCTGTACCAAGAACCTTTTCTACGGTTCGTGACATGGTGAAGAAGATAGAGGTTTCTAAAAAATCTAATAGTATTCGGGAAAAAGAGGTCCACATCGATGCCAAAGAATCGCCTGTTACTATCGACGGAAAGAAATCTAATTTCAACAAAAAGATTTTGAACTTCTTTGCTGAAGAAAGGAAAAGTCAGTCGCCATACAGCAAGTTCCTGAACTCAAAGAGGAAGTCCATGGAGCTGGAAAACGTGGTAAAGAGCAAACAACCTCAGCATGAAAAGAGCCTTGTACGTGGAATTATCGAAACTTTGATGGAGAAACTGAGCAAACCATCGCTTCGACGTGAAAACAGAAACGTTGGAATCAACCAGAACTTCGTGAAGCAGCTAGTCAGAGCCTTGGAGAAGGAAGATACTACCGAGGTCGAAAATTCGCTGTCAGAGAGAACTTCTGTAAGCGAAGAAGGCAGCTTCAGCGAGTCAGAAACGAAAGTCAGCATTACATCAGCATCTCCCAAAGACACAGA